GCTGCTTGGCCTGCTGTGTTCATCCAGCCCTGCACCTTGTTGTCTCGGATTCTCCAGCATCTGCAGTTCCCAATATCTCTGATTCAATGAGGTGTAAGTACTGTGTTGTCCATAAATACTTATCTAATCAACAGCACTATAACTAAAATTAAGGCAAGGTACTGTAGATGCTATGCTGGAGAACTGAAATAAAAACAATAAGTCTGGGTCTGGCAGCATCTGTTGGGAGTGAAACAACGTTTACGTTTTGTGACCTGTATGACAGTCATACCAATTCGAAATGTTAACTTTTATTCTGTCTCTGCAGATGCTGACAGACCTGTTGAGTTTTCCCAGCACTTTCTATTTTTATCACAATAACTATCCAGATTCATGGTGTTTGAGGGGTAAAAAGACATATTGTTGGACTGGATTTTTATGGAGTTGGTGAGACACTACGAAGGAGTGAAAAATGTGTCTAGGACCAGGTTTTGGGATCTGTGGAGTTAGGCCAGCTCTTCACAGTCATTGTTCACACCATTCAGCAAGATCATGGCTGATCTGACCCAGACCTCAACTTCTTTTTCATGCTAGCTCATCATAGCCTTCAACTTTACTGACTTTTTTTTTGAAAAGTTATCTATGTACCTCTTTAAATACTTTCAGTGATCTAGCCTTCACAACTTTCTAGGGTGGAGAATTCCAGACATTCACTACCCTCAGAGAAGAAATTTCTTCATTTCACTGTTTTAAATGAGTGTCACCTCGGGGTCAGTTACCTAAGTTGGCTGGATGGCTAGTTTGGAATGCTCAGCTATGCTAGAAGCATGGATTCAATTCCTACAGCAGTCGGGGTTACTATGAAGGACTCTCCTTATCATCCTCTCCCCTCGCCTGAGGTGTGGCGAACCACCACCAGTCAACTCTTTCTAATGAGAGAGCAGCCTGTGGTCTGTTAGAACCACGGTGACTTTACCTTCTGTAACTAAGTTTCCTGGTTTAAGATTTCCCACACTAATGGAAACATCTTCTTCAGATCTACTGTGTCAAGCCTGCTCAAAATATGTTTCAATACTAATCAAATACAATACTCCTCATTCTTCAAAACTGTAATGTATGAGGCCTAAACTGTTTTTCCTGGTGCATAAGACTTCATGGAGTCCAGAATCAATGTTGAGAACTCCCAGAGTCAATAAATGTTTTGCTGGAAAAGCACAACTGGTCAGACAGCATCTGGGGAACAGGAAAGTCAATGTTTCAGGCCTAAGCCCTTTGTCTGAATCCTGATGAAGGGTTTTAGCTTGAAACATTGACTTTCCTGCTCCTTGGATGCTGTCTGACTAGCTGTGCTTTTCCAGCTCCACATTTATTGACTCTAGCTTCCAGCATCTGCAGTCTTTACTGTCTTTAAGTCTTGAAAACTCACAGGGCAACTCCTTCCTGACTGTATACCACTGTGCTACCACCTTCATTGGACCTATCCTACTGAAACAAGTCATATCCAGAGATAGCAATAATGGTATCTGGAACATTGTCTGTATGGTATGATTCTGTGACTATGACTATGTCAGGATGTTGCTTAACTAGTTTGTGAGACAGCTTTCTCAATTTTGATAGCAGCCCTCAAATGTAATGCATGGCTAATTTTTTTTTTCTATTGTCATGCCTAGGTCGATGCTAGGAGATTATTGTTCTTATTTTTTGACACTTTCTAGTGATTGTTACAACTGAATGGTATGCTAGGCCATGCAATCCCATGGGTCTGGAGTCACATGCAGACCAAATGAAGTAATGGTGGCAGTTTCCTTCCTTGCATTAGTGAACGAGATGGGTTTTTCAAATCATTGGCAAAGGTTTCATGGGCATAATTACACTCTTAATTCCAGATTTTTATTGAATTCAAATCCATGGGATTCAAGCCCGTGTCCCGAGGACATTACCTGGTCTCTGGATTAATACTCTAGTGATAGTACCGCCTGAGTGAAGTCCAGTCAAATGTAGATTAAAACCACCATGACAATTATAGTCCTTTCTTACACACCTACATTATGTCTCAATTTATATTTGTTCTATAGTGAGGTAATTCTTCAGGGGTCTAGAGACAACTACAGCCCATGATTCATTTCCCTTGCTATTCCTTATTTCTACCTACATATCATGATCCATTACACCTATATCACAACTCACCATTATGATGGTGCTACCCTACCTCCTTTTCCTCTATGCCTATTGTTCTGGAACATCAAAGACCATTGAATATTGAGTTCCTGATCTTGGTGACCCTGCAACCATATTTCTGTAATAGCTATTAAGTCACATCTATTTAATTCAATTTGTGCTGTCATCTTGTCAGTCTTGTTACAAATGCTGTGTGCTGTCTTCAATAAAGACTTCTTACCATTTTTATTTAAACTGGTTCTAATTTCTGCTACATTCTTCTGTTTATGTTTTCTGCCACTTTCTATCACACTTTATCAATCGCGTCTTTACCACCCTGCACTTCTGCTCCCTCATTTCAGTTTTTTTTTTAAACATTCCTTCACTGAACTCTCCTGCCACCTAATTAGTTTAATGCCCTATCTTCAATCCTAGTTATATAATTCTGGTCCCAGCATGGTTGAAATGAAGCCCATCCCATCAGAACAGCTCTATCCCCAGAACTGCTGTCAGGGTCTCATGAATTGCAACCTATTTCTCCCACATCTTTTAGCTCTCCAATTTTACCTTAT